CAATTTATTGCATTTCCAGAACAGAGCAGAGAAATCGCCGTCTGTACTGCACACACAAACCCTCTTCCAACACGCTGCTTTCCCAGGCGCACCAGGGGAAGGGTTTGGGGAGAGGCAGGGAAAAAGCTCCCGGCAGCAGAAGGGTTCGGCGATGAACCCGGCGACCCCTTCCCCCCCCTCCCTCCCTCCCCGGAGACAGGCAGCCTTACAGAAGGAGCGGCTTGCGAAGGAGCACCGTACGATTCCCCATCCTGGGAACGAGCCACGCGCCTGGTTTTTCCCAGGCACAGCCCGTACAGCGCTTGCACGAGGAAAACTGCTACGGTCGCTGAAAGGCTGTGGGAGAGAGGACCACGAGCAGGACAGTTCAAAAGCAAGGCGGGTGGGATGGGGACCTCAGCGAGGTCCTCGGGGATCAGCCGGTGCCGCAGGCTCTGGGACACTCAGACACGGTGAAGCGCACACGGGAACTGCCGGTGGCTCCCCGCTGGAGAAACCCCCACGTTGCCAGCTCGTGTGTGCTCCAGGGTTACCAGAGAGGACCCTGATGAGCGTTAAACAGGAATAAGGATCCCAGGGTAGGAGGGGCTGACACTGAGCTGGGTGGCCACGCAGAAGCAGCGTGTCCTCCCTGCTCACTGACAAGCCCGGGCAGCTCCCACTGAAGGAGCTGGGGATGATGCTGCCTGGAGCGGCGGCAAGATCACCTGGTGGTTTCCAGCATTGGAGGATGGAAGGAGAAAGCAGGAGGCACCTAAAAATCCAGTACAGCAAAGAGCAGAGACTTTGCCCCACCACCTGTCCCACCATGGAGCCAAGAGCTCTACAGGAGGGAGCAGAGGAAGGTACTACCAGTCCTCAGCTGCACTGGCCGTGTATGGCAGGAGACCCAGACCCTGAGGTTAGGAGGGCAGCAAGGAACCCACCATACTTATGGAAGCGCACACCATCTCCATGGGCACCCAGGGAGGAGGCTCAGCCCAGCTGGGCAGCGCGGAGAGAAGCAACACCCAGGCTCACCCTTCTCAGAGGGAATCCGTTCGCTTACGGGCAAACACAGCCGACATCGTCTTGACGATGCCACGGATCCCCGTACCCTTTTTCAGAGCCAGTTTGGTATCAGGGATGCGTTTGGCCAGTCCATGGAAGACCATGAGGGCTCCATGATAAGCCTCAGCTGCAGACACCTCGTAGAAACCACAGTCTAAAGAGAGGGCCAGGAGCCGACCCTCCTCGCTGGACACCACCCGTTGGTGGTGTAGGTCGCGTTTGTTGCCCACAATAATGATGGGCACCTTCTCCTGGCTCTGCCCCTCCTTGGCCGCCTTGATGAACTGGATTTTGAGGGGCAGGATGTTGAAGCTGGCGCGGTCACAGATGCTGTAGACCAGGACAAAGCTGTCTGCCCACTGGATTCGCTTCTCCTCCGAGGAGCCCTCCTCCGTCTGCTCCTGGGGAAAGAGAAAAGGAAGGTTCCTTTACCCAGCTCCCCCCCTCCATGCCTGCCTGCTAGCACAGGGCACGGCGATCCTGAGCCCCTCGGGACCGGAGCGGCTAGCGAGCAGCAGCAGAAGGGCAGAGAGAAAGAGGAGTACTGAGGCAGGCAGAGCAGGACCTGGCAGACCTCACCAAGGGGACACGATTTGGGCTTCGGCATCACTGTCCTCACCCTCATCACCCAACTGGCAAGCGCTGCAGGCTGTAGGCGATAACAGCGGGGGGGACCTCAGAGCGGCACTTCCACTTTGTCAGCACAGTCCTGTGCTCAGTCCAGGCTGATAACATTAGTGCTTCAGCCCCCAACGTCCTCAGTCAGAGGACCATGGGCTACGGTGACTATTGCTACCCTGCCAGCAATGCTGCTGCTCTGTGCTCTGCAGGCGAGAAGAGTTTAGTTGTCTACAAACCACCTGACACAAGGGTTTTGCTTATGCCTATGGTTCCCCCCCGTGTAACTTTTAGTAGAGGGTTTTTTGCTTCCCGGGGTGAAAACAGGCGATGGGAGAGGAGCCCTCTCACCTGGGAATTGGGGACATCCCAGATGTGGAAGAGAATCTCTCGGCCGTCCACGGTCAGGTTGTGGCTGTAGATGAATTCTGCCAAAAAACATGAGAACAAAAATGGCCATCTTCACAGACCCAAGAAATAGCTCCCTCAACCCAGGTCTTCTCCTCCTGGGGACAAGCCTGTCACGTCCACCCTGGGAGACCATGCTCTACAAGGCAAGGTCCGGGGGCTCTTTTCGTACAGCAACAACCACATGGAGCATGGTGGTCTCCAGGGCTGTGGCCACCCCAGCCTGCCTCCACCCCAGCGTTCAGTCCAGGCACACTGGTGCCACCAGCTGCCACCCAGGACCTTTTGCACCCCAGAGAAGCAGTTCTGGAGCGAAGAGATGGGTCACTGAACAAATACAACCATCGAGCTCCCCCAGGAGCAGGGGAAGGCTCTGGAGAAAGGCAGAAGAGGATGGGACGCAATGAAATCCCACGGGCAGAAGCAGGCTCGCCTCCTGACCCCAGTCCCTAACGGGAACCGGCCTGGCCCTGGCCTGGCACTCACCCATGTCTCCGTACTCCCCGATAAAGCGCCGGGTGAGGAAACGCACAGTCAGAGCTGCGGAGGGGAGAATAAGAATCATCAGAATAACCCTAAACCTGAAGGATTTTCCCTTTCTAAATCCAGAGCAGAGTCAGGCACCATCCCCCTGTAAACTCCCACTAGCAGGAACGACCTCCGGTTTTCCAGCCCTCGGCAGGTCTGCGAGCAGAGCAGAGGCACAGCACGGACCAGAGCATCAGCAAACCACAGCTCAGCGGAAAACACCTTCCCCTGGCGCTCGCCCGCTGCCTGCGAGGTTGTGCTCAGCTTCCCCACCTCGAATCACCACCACGCCTGAAAGCTCAGCCTTGCTCTTGCTCCGCAGAGTTGGTCTCTGCAGTTTGTTCTCCAAACGCCGCTGCAGTTTTCAGCCTTTTTTGGGGGGGGAGAAACGGGTCTCCCTGCCTGGGAAACCCCCTGCTCCCAGCTCACGGCCAGTTCTTACCCGATTTCCCCACGCTGTCCGCTCCCATAACGAGGACGTTTGCTTCCATCTTCAGGGCGGTGGGGCCGGGCACCTCCACGAGGGCAGGGTGGTCGGGGGTGAAGCTGGCGCTCCGGCGCAGCGGGAGCCGGAGCCCCATGCCGAGCACGGCCGTGCCTCGCCGGCCGGCCCCGAGGAGGGTGCGGAGCCGCCTCCG